CCCGGGCCCTGCCCGCCAGCCCCGAGCCTTCCCTCCCAGGCAGCGTGGCTGGGATCGCAGCTTAAGAACAAGCCTGTAATTACCTCTGGCAAAGAGAACACATAGAAATAATATTCAAAAATCACAGGTGGTTGGTTGTATTAAAAATAAATCAATGCTAATGCATTCAAGCATTTAAAAAACAAAAGCACAGCAGATCTGTGCGGTATTTAAATCTCGACAAAAGCTGCCGGTTCCATTTGGGTGAGGGAGCTGGCTGCCGGGGTGGGAGGGATGGGTCCGTGGGCAGGAGGGATGGGTCCCTGTGGGCCCCGGTCAAAAGATGGTTTTAAAGGCTTACCCTTCATTTAACTTAGGTCTGTGTGCATCTGCAAAGGTTACTTCCCCAGCTTGTCTCATGAAGTCTTTGAGATCCTAACACAAGACCAGTTATGTTATGCAAAGAAGTGAAATCAATACTTACTCTATATAAACTAGTTAAAAACAAAAGAAACTTAAAACTACTGAAAGAGATGTTAGATAAATTCCAAACATGGCAACTGCCATACTAGTATTCTATCAAAATTGAATTATCTTTATCAGGGCACGAAATAAATGAAAAAAGCATATTGCTTTAAGCAAAATGCTAATAAAGTGTCTTAACATTAAGAAAAACATTAGTCTACAAAGGTTATATAGATTAAATAAGAAAGAGAGAAAGAGAGAGAGAGAGAGAGAGAAACAAAAAAGTACATTTGTATATATACTGGACTGAGTGTGAAATACTGCCCATCTGTTTTTGCACTATTTCAGTCTCCATTTACATTACGAGTCTTAAAAACAACTCGGAAGGCGGCTGCTCGAATAGCACAGGTATCCCCGCTCATGTTTCTGGCCCCGCTTCCTGACCTCGTCCATCTCCACCTTGGCTCCCCGGGTCCATTTTTGAGCCTTTCTGGACAGCCACTAGATGGCAAGAGCAAGTTGTGCTCGCAGAGATGCAGGGACGTGGCGTTGGGACCGCTCTTGGACGAAGCTGCGCAGAGCCCAGCACGTACCCGCAGCCGCCAACCCTCCGGCACGAAGCCGCTGCTCCCAGTCTGTGCTCCTGCCTGGCTTGGAGGAGAAAGCTGAAATAAATCCAAACGCACTTTGGCAGATCGGGCCTGGGCTCATTAGTGTGAATGACATTAAAAAGGTGAGATTTGGAGCCAGAGCTTACGGAATTTTTATTACTCAAATGAAAAAATCCCGATCCGAAGCAGTCTTAAAAGGTGCCCCGCGTTGAATCCCCAGTGAACCAGAAGCCACTGCCGTTAGTGTCGAGGTGCAGTTATCAGCGTGCTCAGGGCTTGTGGAAGTTTTGGTGCCTGCAGTAACACTCCCCTCAAGGCAACACCCCAGTCCCTGTTCGAGGCTTTGGCTTCCAGAGGAGAGGGCTCTGCGGGCAGCCCAGTCCCAAATCACTCACCTCTGCCCACCTCGGCAACCCCACTGGGGCGACGGGCCAGCCCCTCACCTTCCAGGGCCAAGGAAAAGCAAACCAACCCCCATCTGCCCCTAAAAATGCCATTTTCCTCCACCACAGAGTTTGACACTGAACCCGCAGCTCAGCACCGGGATTCACACCGTGCGCCGACCGCGGTGCATCGCTCCGGAGGGAAGAGCTCCCTGAGAAGGGCAGCGGGCTGCTGCCTCTCCTGCCATCCTGCAGTCCAGCGTTCGTGTTTAGCAGAGGGTGGAGGGTGCACACATGGGGACAGGGGCTTGGTCACTTACTTTATGCAGAGGGAGAGGAGGTTTGCAGAAATTACCCCTTGCAGGGGGCAGAGGCTGCGTCCTCCGGCTTCTCCAGGCTGCAGAGCAGCGACCGGCAGCAGCTGGGGAAGGCAAGGCTGCCCTGGGGCTGGTGACACCAATGAAACAAGGAAGATTTCAAGTCACTTTGGTGGCCCCTTCCCACCTTTCTGTCCCCCTCCTCACCCTCCTCCCACACACAAAATCTCTTTCTGCATGGCTCGCTCCTGTCTCCAGAAAAGCAGCACAAAATCCAGTTGTGAGCGCCACGCAGAGTTGCAACACGTCTTTGCAAACCAGTAAAGCGAAGCGATAGACAAACCAACCAGGGACCCCTGTTCCAACCTACCCACCCAGAAGTCACTCCTCTGAGGTCCCAACAACGCAAAACCCAGCCCTCTGACGGGGCCGCCGCAGCTCTGGGCTCTCCCC